AGCCTATTTTCTATAAGAGGTGGATTAGTCTGATTTATGCGAAGAAAAGTTGGGTTTCTAGGAATCTCTTGTTTCATAGTTGTTGAGCTTACTTCCATTTCGAATCTCTCCACCCGACAATTTCACTAGAAATGGAAGTAAGCTCAACAATTAGTCTGATTTGTTCTCTGCATACTACTCATTTGAGCGTGGATAATTGGGGGGACTTTCATTTCGTATGAAAGTGCACGAAGAAGAGATTGGTTGTTCGATTCCACCAGATGAGGACGGATAAATCTAGTTGTATCGCAGTCTTTGGCTTTTATACGATGTTCATGGATAATTGGTCAGGAAATACATATTGAAATGACTACTCATATGATTGTGCGATTTATCTGCTCGCAGTTCTTCATTGTCCTGCTCCATCAAGGGTGACTATTGCCATTATTGAAGATAAACGGATAATTTTTAAACTTACTTTCCATGGGAGATGAAATCATCAGGTTTTCTCGCTGCATTCTGCTTAATTGTTTATTTATCTTGTTGAGCCTACTTCCATTTCGAGTGAAATTGTTTGGGGAAGAGATACGAAGGTCGATTCCATCAGAAGACGACGGCGGATTCCTCTTGACTGGCTGTCGATTGGCTTTACTGGCACATTCTTGTTGACTCTGCTTCCGAGGTAATCTCCTTGGATTCCGGTGAAACCGAGCTAAGCTGCCGTCCGTCGTATGACGAAAATGATCAGTGCAGACTGTCATTCTTACAACCAAATTCAAGCTAACAAGTCAAGTTTTCTTGAATTTAGTGTGTAAGAAGGATGGCCTGCACTGATCATTTTCGTCATACGACGGACGAAAGCTTAGCTCGGTCAAGAGGAATCCGCCGTCGTCTTCTGGTGGAATCGACCTTCGAATCTCTTCCCCAAACAATTTCCCTCGAAATGGAAGTAAGCTCAACAATAATGAAACAAGAGAGTCCTCGAAACCCAACTTTTCTTCGCATATACTCATTTTGTAATTGATACTTTATCGGTGAATGCAGGTTTCTGCAGTGCAATGGCCTGCTGCAAATGGCTAAACAAGTAATGAGGTCTTTCTACCAACTTGGGTGTCGAAGTCAAGGATCTCTTCGAAGCGCTTTGGTCAAATTGTCTGTAGGAGTTTTCCGAGACGCAGGCGATTCTGGCGCTGCTGGCCAATTCGGAGATGCGATTGTAGACGAGGTCGGCAGGCCCCAGGCGCTTCAGCTCATCACAATCCGGTCTGATCAGATGCGCCTTGTCGGTCTGGCGAGCTCTGCTCGTCCGACGATTCGCGATGCCGTCCAGCATCAAGCCGGACAGGTCGGCCAGTGTGTGTGTGTGTCGGAGGGATCTGGCCTCGAGGGCGGAGCGCGCCCTTCTCGAGGTCGTGGAGATGCGGTGCATGGTGGTGCTGACGGACATGTCCGCCGGCAGTCCGGCCTCTGTCGCCTTCAGGCTGCCGCCGGAGCCGGTGAGCTCCGCTCGCCGCCGCTGGTGCGCCGCATCGAACAGCCACGGCTTGGCTTTCGCCTCGGTCCGACCGATCGATAGACCCTGTGGCTCACCGGACCTTGCATAAGGCCAGGCCTCGCTGAGACGCGACGAGGCGAGCGGCGAGTCGGCCAGGCCAGGACTTGACGGCCCCGGGCAGCTGTCCACGCGGCCCCACTGCCCGACGTCTGCTCCATTCATGGACGAGTGCAACGAATTCCGGTCGCCAAGGTGATAGCGCAGTTTAGTCAGCATCTCGAAGGCAGCCCGTCTGACTGGGGCTCGTGCAGGCCGGCCTGAACAACAGTGTTAAGGAGCCTCTGCCAGTGCAGGAGGCGCAAGCGCGTGTGAACAAACAAGGTCTGAGCGTGACGGCCCACACTGACGGGACGTCGTGTAACCGTAAACGATTTGGCCTGTACAGGTTAATGTTGTTGCTGTCGCTGATGCTGGTTGTGGTGGTGATGGTGGTGAGGTGGTC